TATGCGCCCTTGAGTATTTATAAACCTCGAATACTTAAGTTGCATGGCTTGCCTTTCCGGTAGTATCCAGTGATACTGAGCTAACAGTGTGAAGGCCTCCAAAGCATAGTTCCAATGACTAGTAGCTCTAAACATAATCAGCATATACTTCCAGCAATTAAATACTCTGTCTCCATCCCCCTCCCGTATTGCGTCGTGATACTCCATATAAAAGAGTCCAAGACTAATCATTTCTTTTGCATATTCATAAACATGATCTTCTGGATCTATTTTCCTGTCTGAGTTAAATGTTGACAAATCAACATATTCCGATGCAATTTCTTCAGAAAATGTAATAATCCATTCCTTCCTTTCTTCCTTAGTATTGCCAATATCCAGAACATCTACTGATGGAGAGCTATCTATTTCTTTCATTTTTAACTTTTGCATAGCAACACATAACACATATGACGTGGTAACCAAATTTAAGAAATCTTCAGTTGCATTGACATCTTTTTTCGGGTCTGAGACAACATTTCTTCTGTTAATAAGGTTTCTTAACTGCTGCAGTGTTCCATGGTCAGTAATTGACACAGTGCTGTATAATCGCTTCCATATTATCTATAAAATGTGACCATAATTGACAAAAGGTACCTTATGGCGGATTTTAAAATTCATCATTATAATGAAAAATATCAACCTGTGAGTGCACTGTTAGACAATCATTAATTCTATAAGTTACATAGTAACTTTTTGCATCCTCTGGAGTAATTTCGTGATAAATGAAGCTCAGTAAGTTGGATTTTTGAGGCTATAAAGACCAATTTTCCTATCCGACATAAGGTACCTTTTGTCAATTATGGTCACAAATACAATGAACATTATACTTTGTGTAAGAATATACCTCTAGCAAAATGACTTTTGTATGCCAATCTTCTGAAACAGGTAGTAAACCAGTGAGTCGCTTTGAATCAGTGGTTGAATTCATCCGAATCATTTTGGACCCACGTGCCCTAGCAGCAGTCATTTGATCACCACCTAACAAAACCTGGTGGTGTACTTCACGCATCAAGCCATCATGCTCAACAATTTTCTTAGGAATATACCTACATTACAGCATAAGATGAGGCTTACACAGCGAAAAAATTACTTTTCAAGTTTATCCAATATTTGTAAAAATTCATCGTAACTTCTTTCACTGTGCAAATAAATTCCTAAATTCACCTATACATGCATGTATGATAATGGTGACTTTGAAATTAATTACACTATTTTGACGTACCACCTCTGACTTTGTGCTCATTTCTTTAGTAAATTTGTGCTTGATGTGGTACTCAACAGCATCCTCAAAATGCAGCTTGAAGAATGAAATATTCTTAACAAGAATACGAGCAACTAGAACTGCCATATTGCGTATAATTGACAATTTGTTGTCATTTGAAGGTAGTATTGAACCCATATCAGGTTCTAGATCAATTAAAGGTGCTTCTTCTGTAACGCAAATACAATGTATATATTATATTACTTAACTGTACTTTTACCTGAACATAAGGACATATCAATTCTGTCAAGAACAGCATAAGAATTGAAATAATTGAAACTCTGACTTTGTTTTGAGATTGTCATGTTCCTAGGCTTAACTGTTTTGTCAATGTTGTCACCACATAGTTTGAAACCATTCCATTTGGCTTCACTGATCACTTCATCATCACGTCTTACTAAAATAGGATTGTCAGTTTCATCACCATTACATGTCTCCATCAATTCTGTTTCCTCAGCAGCATCAACAGCTGAACAATCAACAGCATAGCATCGTCAACATCATCATCAAATAAAAAATCAT